GGGAGTCGACTATCCCCCATAAGGTCCTCAAGCTCAATGGGGGGTTTGGTGACGGCCATAGAGGAGGAGAACAGCAGAAACAGAGGTTTACCGGGTTTAACTCGTTCCGAGGGTTTTGACGATGATTTCGTTTCAATAGCAACCTCAGCTCAGCCCCAGATGCATGCAGGGGGGGGGATCTCTCCCCCCCCCGCTAGTCTACCGGCCATGACCACTGGTCAGACCACTGGTCACCACTCCGCTGCACCAGCTACCTGGGGGCAGCTGCAGCAACACAGCTCAGCACAATACCCCACACGAGCCCAGCAGGTCCAGCCAGTGCTGCTGCCTCCTATGGGGGCGTCTCCATATGCTATGGATGCAGCAGGCAACAGGATAGTGCTTGGTCAGCCGCAGCAGCTGCAGCAGCAGCAACTGCAGCAGCAGCAGTTGGTGCTGCAGCAGCAGCAGCAGCTGCCAGCCAGAGGAGCTTCAGCACGCTTCAACTCCTTCAAAAGCTCAGCAGCAAAAAGAATAGATTTTCATCTCAAGCGGGGGATGGGGTCGTTCGTGTTGCTGTGGACCTCTTCTGCTGTTCTTCTCTTTCTCTTCTTACAAGAGTGAGGGTTTAGGGTTTAGGGTTTAGGGTTTAGGGTTTAGGGTTTAGGGCTGGTGGGTCTAGGGTCTAGGGTAGAGGGCTTCTTTCCATACACACAATCAACACGCCAGCAATGGTTTAGGGTTTAGGGTTTTAGGGTTTAGGGTTTGTCTTCACACAACCAACGCGCTTGTGAGGGTTTAGGGTTTAGGGTTTAGGGTTTAGGGTTTAGGGTTTGTGTGCAGGTTGGTGTTTAACTTCACNTGAGGGTTTAGGGTTTAGGGTTTAGGGTTTAGGGTTTAGGGTTTGTGTGCAGGTTGGTGTTTAACTTCACTTCGTTCAATGGCCGCTGCATCGGCCCCGTATTATACCCTCCTTGGACAGAGCCTGAAGCGACCCGCGAGGTGCGTAAACCCTAAACCCTAAACCCTAAACCCTAGACTCTAAACCCTAAACCCTAAACCCTAAACCCTAGGGGCTAGGAGCAAAGCCACAAGAAGCGGAGACTCTCACTTCTGGGCGGTTTGCAGCGTCTATTAGGGTTGATGTATTTTATTAGGTCCTTCTTAGGGTTAAAAGGGTTTAGGGTTTAGGGTTTAGGGTTTAGGGTTTGGGGTGTGTGTTCCAGCCGAGGTTGGTGTCTTTCGGTTACGGCGCATGCGAGTGGAATTTGGGGCTGCGTGACGGCATCTCTGCAGCAGAAGCAGCAGCACTAGGAGCACCAGAAGCAGCAGCAGCAGCAGCAGCAGCAGGAGCAGCAGGAGGAGCAGCAGGAGGAGCAGCAGCAGCAGCAGCAGCAG